ACAAACTGTTACACCTCAACAGCAAACTAATGGGGGCTTGAAGCTTGTTTTACCTGATAGAAATATTATCATGCATAGAGACACTCCTACTGTTCGTTTTGCTGAGGAAGAAGTTGAACACTTATCAAAAATTGACAGATTTACCTTGGTTGGGAAATTTTCACATGGACAACCCAAATTGGATGTGATTAAAAAGCACTTTGCCACACAGTATTTTCTCAAAGGACAGGTCACTATTGGATGGAGAGGACCTAGACATGTGATTCTCACATTTTCAAATAGCCAGGACTGCACTGATATTCTGCTTAAAAGCCAAATTGCTTTTAATGGTGCTAACCCCATGAGATTATTCAGATGGACCCCAGATTTTAATACTGAAACTGAGACATCTATTGCTTCAGTTTGGATATCTTTGCCAGGTTTACCTATTCATTTCTTTGATAAGGCTGCTTTGGCTTTAGTATGTAAACCTTTGGGTAAGGTATTGGTGATTGATCAGGCAACCATGAGTAAATCCAGACCCCATGTTGCAAGAGTTAGACTGGAAATGGATCTTATGTTACCCTTAATTCACAAGGTCTTTATTGGGACTTCCACTCTTCCAGGAAAAGAAGATGAAGGGTTTTACCAATCTATTGAATACGAGAGAATCCCTCTATATTGCACTAAATGTTTCAAGCAAGGCCACTCAGTTGAAAAATGTAAACTGGAAGATAGCAATCACTTTTTGGCTGAAAAAACAAGGAAGGGTAAAAATATTCTGACAGAAGATAACTCTCACCAGGACAGGCCAGAAAGAAGGAGGAGTAGAAGTAGAGGCCCTAAAGCTCACAAACAGACTACTCACAAACAAGATGTTCTTGATTTAAGGCCAACAGCTGCTGGACCTTCATATGTACAGAAGGATATATCAAAGAAAAATGTCCCTCAAAAGAAGCAAGAATCTAATGTGTTGAAAGCTGAGGTGGACCAATCCTTTCAAATGGTAGAGAGGAAAAATTCAAACCAGAAAGGACAGCCAGCAGGATCTTCTGCAAAGGAAGCCTCCAATACAAAACTTTTCCCCCTTAATTCAACTATTGGTATACTTCCCAAATCTGCACAAATGGGCCCTTCCAGTTCCCACACTATCAACAACAGCAACAGTTTTGCAGTGCTGAGTCAGCCTATTGAGGACCTGCCAACATTAAACCCCCAAGCACCTGAATTTAATCCCACACAATATGCACTTGGGGTTCTTAAAGAAGTGCCTTTACAGTCAATTGACCAAAATCCACAAAATATGAGCATATTATTCCCTGTGATACCCACCAGTGAGATCCCTAAGCAGCTAACTTGTGGTGAGAACACTTTAGCCAATACCATCCCATCTAATACAAATTTAATGTTGGAAGAAATAGATCCTGGACCCCAAACTGCTGAGAATGCTATTGAGGAAGTCTGGTCAGATGAAGGTTATGCTAGTCCCATTGGAGAAGAAGACTCCTTATCTTCATCAGTGTTTGATCCTAAATCAAAAAAGCTTTTAAATGATATTTCTCTGGATGTTCCTGCAGCAAACACCAGAAAGGGTTCATCCAAGGCAAAACCACCCAAACCCCCTACAACTAAGAAGTCTGGCAGGGCCAGAACATCTTCTCCCCCACCACAATAATTTTATAGATTCCACACTTGTGTGGAAGGTCAGAGGGATCTTCACCAGAGGGTCCCTTGATCGACTTCATCATCTGGTTTCTAAACACCATCTCCAACTTGTTTGCATCATAGAACCTTTCAGGGGAGCAGAACACTGTGAATCCACTAAAAAACATATTGGCTTCTCACAACATTTTGTTGGGTGCTCTGGGAAAATTTGGTTACTTTGGAAGGATACTTATACCATTAAGGTTCTCTCTGATGAAGAACAAGTGGTTTTTGTGGATGCAACCCATACCCCAGTCAAAAAACTGGATTTATGGCCTTTGTCTATGCTAAAACCAAAAGCTGGTTAAGAAAGGATCTCAGGGCCTCCCTGGTACAGTTTACTCAGTCTTATACTGTTAACAAACCTTGGGCAGTTGTTGGAGACTTTAATTGCAGCCTAAATCCTGATGAGAAAAAAGGGGTCTCCCTATGTCTTTAAATGCCAGCTGAGATTTCCAACAATGCATCAATGATTGTGGTCTTATGGAAGTCACCACCTATGGTAATACCTTTACTTGGTGGAATGGCAGGAGGAAATCTCACTCCATCTGGAAGAGATTGGACAGATGTCTGGTTAACCAATCGTGGGCTGACACATTTCAGACTAGTGTTCATGTTCTCTCTTTAACCACCTCTGATCATTCTCCACTTCATATATCCACAACAATACCAACTTGTACTACCACCCCTAGGAAATTTTCTTTCCTTAATGCATGGACCACTCATGCTGATTTCATGCAGGTTGTTGATAAGGCTTAGAAAACAACTCTGTCTGGCCCACCTATGGTTCAGGTTGCTGCTAAACTAAAGGCTACTACTTATGCACTTAATACATGGAATAAGCAAGTCTTTGGCAATATATTTACTAAATTGGAAGATCTTGAGAAGAACGTTTAGAATGCTGGAGAGCTCTACCAGGCTGACCCTAGTGATGAGAATTTAATCAATTTCAAATCTGTTGAAGCCTCATACATCCATCAATTACATCTGGAAGAGCTGTTTTGGAGGCAAAAAGCCCATATTCAATGGATTGAGGATGGGGATAGGAATTCTAAGTTCTTTCACTCTGTAGTGAAGGATAGGAGAAGGAGATTATATATCCACAAAATTAAAGACCAGACTGGAGCATGGATTGAGGATCAAAAACAGATTGCTCAACAGGCCATTGAATTTTACCAACACCTTTTCACTGGAGAGTACAGAGGAGACATTGATTATACATCCCTCTCTCTTATTCCCTCACAAATAACAGAGAGTGATAATCAAAAATTGGTTTCTACACCTAGCTTGGAAGAAGTTAAGCAGGCAGTATTCTCTTTAAACCCACACAGTGCAGCTGGTCCTGATGGCTTCACTGGACTTTTTTATCAAACATGTTGGGAAATTATACACAAGGATATCTTGGATATGGTCTGTGGTTTCTTTGAAGGAGATTATATGCCTAAAAGCATGACACATACTCCCATTGTTTTGATTCCTAAGGTGGACTGTCCCAACACATTTGCAGATTTCAGACCTATTAGTCTTTGCAATTTTAGTAGCAAAATTCTTTCTAAAGTACTTGTTAACACACTTGCTAGTATTCTTCCAAATGTGATATCCCCATCTCAAACTGGTTTTATCCAAGGGAGGTCTATTGTTGAAAATATTCTTATAACACAAGAATTATGTCATGCTATGCAATTGGGCAATAGGGACATCATCCTGAAACTGGATATGGACAAGGCCTATGATATGGTCTCTTGGTCATTCCTGATAAAAGTCCAAAGAAAAATGGGTTTCTGTGAGAAATGGATTGATTTGGTCTTCAGGATGATTTCTAATATTTGGTACACTATGCTTATTAATGGACAGAGAGAGGGCTTCTTTACTTCTTCAAGGGGATTAAGGCAAGGAGATCCTCTATCACCCAGCCTTTTCATTATTGCTGCAGATTTCTTATCCCAACTCCTTGATCATAAAATTCAGTCTCCTGGTGTCATCCCTTTCTCTCAACCACATGCCATTCAGCCCATCAGTCACCTTGCTTTCGCGGATGATATGATTATATTCACATCTGGCAGGAAAAACTCAGTGCTCCATATTATGAAGGATCTTCATCTTTATGAACACATCTCTGGACAGCTTATTAGCACTCATAAAAGCTCCTTTTACATGCATCCCAAAAGTGCACATATTACTATTCAGCGTGTGGCTGATCATATCAAGATGCAATATCAGTCCTTCCCTTTCTTCTACCTGGGGTGCCCTATCTATAAAGGAAGGATGAGGTGCTGCTATTTTAACAAGCTTTTGGCTAGAGTGTCACAAAAGTGTCAGGGATGGCAAGGGAGACTTTTATCTTCTGGAGGCAAGCAAGTCCTTATTAAAAGTGTTCTTCAAGCTATNCTCCACCTAAAGCAGTACTTGTGAAGATGGAAAAGAGTTTTTCTAATTTTTTCTGGGGACAATCTGAGCAAAAACTCCATTATCATTGGAGCTCTTGGGAACATATGAGTTATCCTACTAAGGAGGGGGGTTTGGGTTTCACAAGAATGAAAGATATAGTGGATGCCTGTAGTGCTAAACTTTGGTGGAACTTTAGAACCACATCCACTCTTTGGGTCCAGTTCATGAAAGCTAAATACTGTTCTAGGGTTCATCCTGTGGCTAAAGTTTGGCAATATGGTGAATCTCATATTTGGAAAAGAATGACTCACGTTAGATCTAGGATTGCGCCATACATCACCTGGAGGGTTTATGATGCTTCTTTGAGTTTTTGGTGGGATAATTGGACTGGATTGGGACCATTGGCAGGGGTCACTAATCAGGCACATGGTAAATATTGGCAACAACCTCTCAAGGAGTACTTAATCAATTCATCTTTCAACTTTGACCACTTACAGTCCCTCATGGACCCTGGTTTTTTCATTCATTTTCAAGTAGATCTTTCTTCTCTTGGCTCAAATAATGCTGATCAGGCTCTCTGGCAACCTAAATCCAATGGAGTTTTCTCTATGAAGGCTGTCAAAGATTTCTCAAGGCCTTGTGGTAATGTTAATATCTACTTACAGAATTGTTGGCACACTTATATTCCTTTTAAAATGTCCTTTTTGGGCTGGAGACTTTTACTGAGGAAACTCCCCCTGGATTCCACTTTGCAAAAGTTTGGGTATGTCCTCCCTTCCAAGTGTAGTTGTTGTACCAAACCCACTTGTGAGACTACTGAGCATGTATTTGCACAAAGTGAGGTGGCTAAAACTGTGTGGAAATATTTCTGTGGGCTGTTTTGTCTGAATGAACAAGGCATATCCACTGTTAAGCAATATCTTAATGTTTGGTGGGGAGCTAAATCACATCCTAAAAAATACACTGTTAGGGTTTTATTAAAACGATGTATGCCTGTTTTCATTCTTTGGGAACTTTGGGTTCATTATACTTCTGTCAAATATGGGGAGAAACAAATCAATGTTGCAAGGACTATTTTTAAAATACGGCAGGATGCTGTGGAAGCTGCAGCTAGGAAATGGCCTAACCTCCGTAAAAATCTTTCTGATTGGAAGACTATTTTCAATTTAAGTGGCCATCTGTCCAGTTCTTATCAGACTCCTACTAAGATGTGGCAGTTTCCTCCTCCAAACAGTGTGAAAATTAATGTCTCTATGTTCTACAAAGAACATTAATTTGGTACTGGTGCTGTGGTTAGGGACTCCAAAGGTATATTCTTGTATGCTTATGGCAGTGTTGGACATGCTTCAGCCCTAGGAGCCACTATGGATATCCTCTTGATCATACTGCAATGGTGTTTAACTTCTGGGTATACTTCCCTTTATTGGGAAGCAGATTTTAAGGAGATGCTACAACTCCTTAATCTTTCTATCCCACTTTTTACTGTGGACCATATCAGTAGGTTGGCCTTTTTACTTTCATGCTGCAGTTCTTCTACTGATTTTTGTGATGGTCATACTAATCGTGTTACTAATTATCTGGTCCAATGGTGTTGTAATCACCTTCATTCTAGTATGGATTTTTTGGGTATTTTTGATCTACCTGCACAATGTCAGCTCCTTTGTCAACATGATATTCAGCAGGTTCATAGCTATTCAGCTTCTAGCTCATGCTAACCTGAGCCTCTTATTGGCATGTAGTTGTGTTGCCATTTCCTGGTTAGGTAGTCCTTTCTACCCGGGGGTATGGAGAACTTGGATCTTGGGTGCGCTCTTTTTCCTTTTCCTACTTTCTAGGGGATTGTGTTTGCGTTGTTTGAAGAATTTTTAAACCATTACTGGTTATACTGGGGTTATGGAGAAGTTTGGATATTATGGGTGCGCTTATAATATCTTTTCCTAGCCTTGGTATGTATGGTTTGTGGAGTAAGGAGTGGTTGACTCGGATGGGTTTTTATTCCTCCCGTTGGAGATGATTACCACTTCTTTGTGTTGCCATGCCTCTCCGTATGGCCTTTACTGTCTTAGTGTGGTTATGCTCGTGTTGACCTGGTGTGAGTTTGGATTGTCGTGTTGGGTTGATGTTTTAGACCTTATTGTGGCTTTGATCAAGCCCTAGACTAGTATGTTGTTTGTTTCGATCTTATTGTGGCCTTGATCAAGCCTTAGTTAGCTTGTTTGTTGTTTAGACCTTATTGTGGCCTTGGTCAAGCGGTTCTAGGTTCCCTTACCCCCTTATTTGTTATTGTATCCCCAGAAGGTTTGTCTTCCGTATGAGGGGCTGGCGTTAGGCCTTGGTATAGTCCTCCCCTCACTTTGTGGCTCCCTACTATCTTAATAAAACTCGGTAAGGGTTGCCTAGACCTTGTCCCACCAGACTTGGTGGTTTGCCATTGGGATTAAAAAAAAAAGAAGGTTCTGCACATGGAGGTTATCCTGTTAAGGACAGATTTATGGATGGAAAAAGCTTGGAGCCAAAAACCTTCTATCCCTTGGATAACACTCCTTATAAGTTCAGCTCTACCAGCAATGGTCAAAGTCTTTGTGTTCCATCTTCTTATATTATCATCAACAGTTTCAATCAATGGTGCAAAATCCCTCTCTGATGCCCTTTGTGAAGTGAGTGGCAGTCCCAGGTATTTAACTGGTAAAAGTCCTTCAGAGAAGTTCACCAGGCTGAGGATATGCTGCTTGTTCCCCTTGATTTGTCCTGCCAGATAGATGTTTGATTTTTGTGCATTATCATGGAGGCCTGAGACCGAGGAGAAGTGCTTCAAGGCATCAGCTAGGACCTGAACATAATCTTTGTCCCCTCTGGAGAACATCATAATGTCATCAGCAAAGGCAATGGGTGTTATCTTCAAAGAGGAGCATTTGGAATGGAAGTTAAACCTCCTCTCTCTGGTCATTCTCTTCAGTAGTCTAGAAAGGTATTCCATGCAGAATAAGAACAAGGTAGGTGCCATGGGATCCCCTTTTCTGATTCCCCTTTTGCATTTGATGAAGCCATGAATTCCACCATTCAAAGATAAGGAAAAGGATGCAGAGGAGACACATTCCATTACCCAAGCAGTGAACATAGTAGGGAATCCAAGGCCAATCATAGTATTCTTCAGAAACTCCCAAGAGATAGTGTCATATGCCTTGGTTATATCCACTTTAAGCATGCAACAAGGGGGGCTTCTCTTCCTGGCATACCCTCTAACGAAATGTTGGGCCAGGAGTATGTTGTCCACCAGACTTCTCCCACCCACAAAAGCATACTGGGATTCATCAATGATTTCAGGAAGTGTGTGACTCATTCTGTTGGACAAAATCTTAATGATGACTTTGTAGATTACATTGGAGCAGGCTATGGGTCTATAATCCCTCACAGTAGGATTCACTTTAACTTTAGGGATCAAGGCCACAATAGCATGGTTGAGCTGCTTAAGAATTCTGCCACTTATAAAGAACTCAGACACTGCTTCATAAAGATTATTTCCAACAATCTCCCACTTATCCTTGAAAAAAGCAGAGGTATAACCATCAGGGTTTGGGGATTTATTGTTTCCAATCGAAAAGAGTGCATCCTTAACCTCTTCCGTAGTCACCTTTCTGATGAGGTTGTCAGCTGCTTGGTTGGGGATGAGAGGGCCCTCTTCAAAAACATTCCAATCAACAGGTTCAATGGGAACAGTGATTCCAAAGAGATTGGTAAAGTAATCAATAAATTCTTTTTCACTCTCCTCCAAACTGGTGGTGAGTCTCTGATCATTTGTAACAATGAAGGGGATGGCACTGCTATGATTCTTTTTCCTCATAAGGGCATGGAAAAATTTGGTGCACTTGTCCCCCTCAAAGAGCAGTTCACACTTTCTCTTTTGTTGGAAGAAAGATCTTTCAGCATCCATGAAGAAACTTGCTTTATTTCTGAGTTCAACACTCTTAGACAGAATGGAAGGGTTGTCAAGTTCCAGGATCAGCTTCTGCATGAGATGGATGTACTCTTTTCTAGCAGATTCAGCTCTCTGAGAAATATGGCCAAAGTGTAACTCATTCAGAAGCCTCAGAGGTTGTTTCAGTTTTTTGAGTTTGACACATAATCTGTATTGCCTTGTGCCATTGATCCTTTGATCCCAATTATCCCTGATCACCATATCAAAATCATCATGCTTGAGCCACATGTTGTAAAACTTAAAAGGCCTTGTGCCTTGGTTCTGAATATTCATAAGCTACAGTACCACTGGACAATGGTCAGAGATAACCTCCATCTCTCTAAACTCAGCCCAACAATCCCATTGCATATTCTCCCATTCATCATTGATTAGAACTCTGTCAAGTTTGGCCCATTTATCACCTTTGTTCCAAGTAAATTTCAGCCCTGATGAGTTAGCATCATTGAGGGCATTGTTGATTCTGAACTGTCTGAGATCTGTCATGTAGTAAGCACTCTGGGTTTGGCAGTTCACTCTTTCAGTGGAGCTGATAACTGCGTTGAAATCCCCCATGATAGCCCAAGGGCCACTGAGATCACCTAAAATGTTAGTCAAAAAATCCCACAACCCCCTTCTGGCAGTAACACAGTAGAGGGCATAAACAAAAGATACACAAAAAATCCTTTGGGAAATGAGGCACTTAATCTTACAATGCATAAGCTGGTCAGTGACATGAATAATAGTGCACTCCACAAAAGAAGGATTCCAAAAAACTGCCATCCTCCCATCATTAATAAGGTCAAAATTATGTGAAAAGCTCCATGATGGGAGTTTATTTTTAGCAAAAAGGTTAAGTTTGGAAGCATACATTTTTGTTTCCAAAACACAAAATAGGTTGACACCAAGGTCATAAAGGTATTTACACAAAAAGGCTTGCTTAGAGGCCTTGCCAAGGCCTCTAATATTCCAACAAAGTATCTTCATCAACGGCAAGGGCCAT